GATTGACGAAACGTGATTAATTTTTATCAAGAATTAATTTGCCGCAACATCAAAAATGAATCTACCACATCCAAGTTTTCTTCATTCAATTCCTTTTCTGCGTGGCGTCTTTCTCCTCTGCTGCTGGGTCGTCTGCATATATGTACAAATTCAGCCCAAAAATCTCTAGCCGTTTCTGTCCTTTTCCTGCGGCGGTGGGGTTACTGTGAATATAATTTTATTTCAGCCTAAGAACCCACTTTCTTCTCTTCTCAGCTTCCTGCGGCGGGGGTTCAACTTGTGTATAAATTATTTCATCTCCCCAGAATCCCCCACGCCACTTTCTGTCTACATGTGTCCATATATATATATTTCCCACTTTTTCGCCGCCAATCCATTCCCCTGTAATTAGAATTCCTAGCTGCCCATCAATTGTAGTATCATTAGAATTCCAATTGCTGAAGTCCTAGTCCAATTAATCCAAGTTGGGCTTAATCCAATTAAAAATTGCAACCAAGTGTAAATTTCCTTGCAAGGCCCAGTTGTGGAATTTGATTCTAAAGTTTGCCATGCAATAGTCAATTTATCGTTCTTTCTCCATTTTCTTCAAATAGGACCCTAACTAAAAACAAAAGAATAGTAACACAAGTTAAGTAAAAAATAATAATTTGACGACATGAAATCCAAGTAATTTGACATAATCAAGTGCACAAAATGCACTTATCAAACACCCCCAAACTTGAGCTATTGTTTGTCCTCAAACAAAATTATAGCTTAACTCCACATAAAACATGGTTTAATAATTTACCATGTCGCGGGATTGGAACTTAGTATTAAACAAAGTGAACAAGTACAACAATGCAAAATCAAATCAATCTCCACATGTTACATGTATAACTTGACGTGTATGTGTGTGAAAACTCATGCCAACATATTAAGATCATGATTAGCTCATACCCGACCCAAAGTAGTCAAATATTTCCTTATATCACTCGAAAGGTACACATCCCCCGAACTTATTCTTTTCACTCAATTATCTCGGGGTGTGTTCTAAAGTTGAACTTATTTATATTTACTCCATATCCTCTCTTAGTTCGGATGTATTGTACTATCACAAGTTCAGACTTCAACAAGTAGAGACTCTCCT